TCTGCAAAATGGCCGCAAGAGAGAGATGGGAGTGGGGTAGGGGGCTGAGTTTCCTCTTGTGATGCTCTAGGTGTTTGGTGCTCAGAGATAGCTGTGTGGATTTCGAATCAGACCAGGTTTCCTGGAGGAGAGGATTTGAGTGGGTGGCACTAGGGGAAGCCGCAGAGAGGATTGAGGGTGCTGTAGGCAAGAGTTTGGATATGAGCAAAAGTCTAGTTTGTGGGAAGAAGAGGAGGAAGACTTAGGCCCGCACTTTACAGTTTACAAAACCCGGCTGTGGGCGTCTACGTTGTTCATGCTCACAACGGCCCTGCCAGGGAGATGGTTGGCCCTTTCTACAGAAGGGGACTCTGAGATCCAGAAGGATGAGCCCATAGTTATTTGAGACCCTAATTGCAGAGCCAGCGCTCACCAGGTTGCCCAGTGACCCATTTAATTAGCCCTGGATCAGCCCAGCACTTCCCTCTGAGGCCCCTTCAGCCCCACGCAGGCACCCAGGGCATCTGGGGCTCGCCCTGCCTGTCTTCCTGTGTCTGCTCACCAGCTTGGTGATCCCTGATCTGTGCCATTTTGCTTTTAGCCTTTTCTCCTTATCTTTATATTGTGTTTAAAGAGAATTGGTTTTTTCGCTCCACAAACATCCCCAGGGGATTGTTTGATGCTGGTCTTTGGTTGGAACCTGGAGACACAGAGCTGGGAGGCGCTCACAGTCTGTTGGAGGAGACAGAAATGCCAACAGACTGCCATCCAGGGCCACGACTGAGGGAAGCACTGGGAGTGCGGGGCTGGGGGAGCGGTTACCTCTCAAGTGTGAGGGATTGACAGAGGCTTCTTGGAGGTGGTGATGTCTGACCCAGACCCTGAAGGAGATGGTGCGTGGGGGGAAGTACTGTGAGATTTTACTGTGTATCTCTGTAAAGGGTCTTTCTGGCAGAAGCAAGAGGGCAAGCTGAAGCCCAAAGGCCTGAATTGCAGGAACAGCTGGGCGCTTCGGCAGCCTCAGGACAGAAGGCAGGTGCGGGCTGGCACAGACCTTTGAATGCAGAGTGAGGCACGGGACTTAGGCCGGAGGGTAACTTGGAGCAGGAGAGTGAGATTGGGTGGATGATGTGGAGGTGAGGCCGGAGGCTGGGAAACCATTAAGGAGGCTGCTGCAAAGGTCATGGAAATAATGGAGGACAAGTTGTGTTCCAAGGGCAGAAGGTTTGGGCTGCCTTCCCACTTCCAAGTCTATGGGCGAACTGAGGTCCAAGATGCCTGGGCATTTAGGGGAGGCTTCTGTATTTTGGCCCCAGAATAGCCAATCCCCCAGGCGATGAAGGCAGATTCACCTGAGGGCAGGTGGTGGGGTGGAGGGCTGCGGTGGAGGGGAGAATGTGGCTTCTGCCTCTCTAGTGAGGGAGAGGGCAGAACCCGGCTGGAAGGACAAGGCTGAGCCAGGGGAAACTTGATGCTCAAGTTCATCTTCTCCAGCCCCTGGATTTGCCTTAGGGCTCTCTCCTTGCCTTGGGATAGGGCATGACCTGGCGACCAGAGCTCCATGCCAGGTGGAGGGCCCTGGCGACAGCTAACCCTGGCACCGGGCGCAGGAACCCAGCCTGGCCAAGGCTGCCTATCTGCAGCGCCAGCTGGGTCTGTGGGCTGGGATGGGGCTTCCTCTCCAACTGGGTTCGTCTAGCTGTCAGCCCTGGTGTGGTGCCGGCTGCTGGCTGCTGGCCTGGCTGGGTGTATGGGCTGGGGCCCAGGTCTGGCTGATCAGGGCCCCTCACCCCCTTTTTTTTTCTCTTTGGCTGCCAAGAACTTGAAGCTTCTCTAAATATTATTCTTAGGGAATTTCAGTCCAGCCTCTTTAACGAGCCCTCCTGTTGCCTGGTGCCTCTGCGTCCTGGAGGACTTGGTGTTCCCACACTGTGCCTAGAGTCCTGACTCCTGGGCTGGGGGACATTTCCTGGCTGAATCCTGAGAAAGTTCTGGAGCCAGGAAGTTGTGGACAGTCCTCGTCTGTGGGAATGTGTGCAACGTGGGCCTGCTGATCAACCCCGCTGCCGGAGGGGCTTGAAGTCTCAGTTGAGAGCAAACTGCTTGGTTCTTTGCTGATGGGGCAGGGGAGTCACACGGATGCAAATAACGCAGATAGTTAGAGAGAGATTGGCTTCACCCAGAGTCGGAAGAAGGAGAGGCAGAGAGAGAGGTTTCCTTAGAGCCTGTCTGTCCCATCCCCTTCCTGGAAAAACACAGGCAAACAAGGCCCAGAGGGTGGAAGGTACTTGCCCAAGGACACACAGCCAGCAAGGAGCAGCCAGTCTCTGACACGTTCACCCGGCACCTACTTGGTGCCTGGCCCTGTGCTGAGTGTGGGAACTCAAGGCACATTAGACTCAGTGCCTTCCTCTCCCCAGTTCTCTTCCTTGAAGGTTTATTAACGATGGTGTCCTCCACTGGGCACAGAAAGCATGCAGGATTTAAGTTAGACTGAAGGAAGACCTTCCTTTGTGAATAGTTCCCAGAGCTCTGATTGTGGCAGGGGACCCCTCTGGGGTCCTAGTTTCATTCATTCAGGATTTTCAGGTCCAACACCTCGGGGGAAAGGTGACAAACCTACCTCACCTGGGGTCATCCCCAGCAAAGGGACTCTGGGCACTTCCAGGAGGAGGAAGGGAGAGGAAGAGAAGGGAGTTCAAGTCTGTGCTCTGCAGCTTCGAGGCAGTGGGGCTTGGGGGGAAGGTCTCCTCATCTGTGTGGTGCCGGGGGTGGGGGGAAGGGGAGTGCTGAGCAGGTAAACAAGAGGTGGATATGCAATGCTGGAGGGGTCAGTGAGAGCCCTGGCTTCCCGGCTAATCGTGACAGTCTAGCAGTGGTCAGACTCACCTGGGGGGGGGAAGGCAGCACTGATACCCTGGGGCCCTCAGCAGCAGCTGGTGTTCTCGCTGGAGAGAACGTTTCCTGCCCTGGGGCTGTGGGTGTTTATGGAAAGATCGTGGAGGAGGAGGTGGGGGGGATGTTGGGCAGCAGGTCTGGGAGGGAGGAGCCTCCGGCTGGCACACAGGCACTCCTGACAGGACAGGGATGCTCGCAGGAGTTTTGGCGTCTGCAGCATCAGGAAGACCTCAAACCAGACTTCAGAGCCAACTGCCGAGGGCTGGGAAGATGAGGGAGTCTTTTTTGGCCAAACTTGGATTGACGGGTCTCCTTGCTTCATTTTCACAAACATTTGTTAAGCTCTGGCTACCTACCACATCTGGATTCCCTGGGCGGCTGGTTCTGTCCAGGACCTGGGTTGAGCCCCAGCTGTGTGCACGGCCTCTGGGAGGGAGGAGAGGGTCAGGGAAAGCCCTTTCCCTTGGGGGCTTGTGGTGGAGCGGAGCAGGCTGAGCTGGACTGAGGGGCTGGGGTTGCAGAGAGGGGAGGAGTCAGAGTGTGGACGTTTCATGGAGGCTTTCTGGTGGAGGCCAGGCAGGGGCTCCGTCGGTGGGACAAGTAGATTTGGAGGGAATTTATTAGGGAGAGCCACAGCCTGGGTCAAGGAAGGAAAAGAGCTTCTGGCTTTGGGGCTGCAGAATGGGCTGCCACAGAATGACCCGAAATGACCTCTTGAGTTCCTTTTGGGACCCCCCACTGGGGGAGGGATGGGGAAGCGCAGTCCAGAGGAGGGCTGGGCCTTAGCCCCTGTGCCCGCCGAGTGGGAGGACCGCTGAGTGTGCCTGCTGAGTGGTGGCCGTGGTGGGGAGCTGGGCAGTGGTGAGCCACAGGCGCTCCTGGGCAGAACCACAGAGTGTCCAGAGCAGGAGGGGCCCATGAGGAGATCCCAGACCCCTGAGCCTGCTGCAGGGTTCACCCTGAGCTCCCTGGCGTTTCCTTGGCTGCTGGCTGTGGGAGGGGGAGACCAGGTCCGCCTGTGTGGGTCTGATAAGGCCTTTTTGTCCAGACTGCTTCCGGTTGGTGCCTCCCATTTACACCCTGCAGGGGCCACAGTGATGTTATTGTGGGGCTGTGGAAAGTTGCCAGGACTTAAGCAAAATTATTTGCATGATTCTTATGATCCTCTTCTTATTGGGTGTGTGTGTGTGTGTGTGTGTGTGTGTGTGTTGTTGTGTGTGTGTGATGGTGCAGGGGGCCCTCTTTGAGGCAGGGGCCAGGAGGACCCTGCTGTCCGGGACCCGTGCTATGAAGTGGGGAGACCTAGACCGGAAGGCACGCCCTCTGATCGCAGCATCCTGAGGGTTCCCCGTGCTTGTCGCCACCCTCCTGACCCCCTCTAATCAGCTGCACAGAGAACTCCAGTTCTCTGTGACATTGGCTCTGAGCCAGATAAGGAAGTAGGGTTCAGAAGGAACCTGGCATTTTATGTGTTTTAAGGCCGAGGAGGGAGCCGCAGGGAGGATGCAGGAGGCCCGACTCTGTTCCTGCGTCTGATGCAGCCCGAGGCTGGGTCCATCGGGAACGGGAGCTGAGACAGCTGAGACGCCCTTCAGATTCATTCTCTGTCCGCAGGGTTCTGGGAAATTTCTTTCCTAGGACTTGAATGCTGAGTCTGTGGGGCGGGGGAGGAAGTGTAGGGGTGGGGCAATCGGTCTGGTGTGACTTATGGGGTGACCCGCCTGGGTTTCCCCTTATCAGGCCTCAGTTTCCCCATCTGCCTAGAAGTGGGGGCTGTGATACATGCTCTTCCTTCCCTTCTGCAAACATAGAGGGATGTGGGTGACCTCCTCTTCCTAGTGTCCGGGTGCCCAGAGGTTGGGGGCTGGTCTGAGAACCCCTATCCTTGTCCCTTTTCTGAACCCCATGAACCCTGCCCTTGGTGCTCTGACTTGGCCAAAAGTGAATGCCCCAGAGGCTTGTGGAGGCAGCCTTATCAGCTGTTTCTTAGCCTAGGATGTCCCAGCCTGGGACCTGGAATCTCCTCCTGCCCCACTTTGGTGGCAGCAGAGAGGGAGTAGGGACTTCCCCTGGTGGCCCATTGTGGGCGAGGCTGGAAACCCAGAGCAAGAAACAGAAGGGCCAGGGACTTTCCGTTCACAGCTGTGGGAACAGAGAGGGCCCTTGGAGGATGGCTGAAATCCAGAAGTTAAGACAGAGCTGTAACTGGACTCCATGCCTCTGGTCAATGAGTGGGCACCCTGGAGTGGCCTCTGATCTCCGTTTCTGCCCCACAGTGAACCCCTGCTGTTACTATCCGTGCCAGCACAAGGGTGTCTGTGTCCGCTTCGGCCTTGACCGCTACCAGTGTGACTGCACCCGCACGGGCTATTACGGCCCCAACTGCACCATCCGTGAGCTGGGCCACCAGCCCGACCCCTTCTCCCCTGGGCTCACCCTCCAAGACCCCACTTCCTACCCTTGTCTCTGGTTGGGGCCCTGTTTTCTTTCCTTGCCTGCCTTTGACCTCTGACACTCCCCCTGACCTTGCTCCCAGCCCACCTCACTCTGTGCTTCCCAGCTCTGTAGTGGGTCTTCGCTGCTCAGCCTGGACCTCACTGACCTCATGCCCTGTCCCATCTCCTGTCCTCACGTCTGCTTCTGGTTCTGTCATGTGTTATCACCCCCAAGGTTCCGTCGTACCCCTGCCCCATAGAGTCTACCCTGTTCCAGCCTGGTCCTTGTCCCCAGTTCCCATCTTCCACTCTGGCTGCTTCCGGTCCCGTTGAGGGGCCCGACTGAGTGGCTCCCGCTGCCCCCACAGCTCAGCTCTGGACCTGGCTCCGGACTTCTTTGAGGCCGAGCCCCTCTTTCCTCCACTTCCTGCTGACACACGGGCGCTGGTTCTGGGAGTTTGTCAATGCCACCTTCATCCGTGACTTGCTCATGCGCCTGGTACTCACAGGTGGGTGAGGGGCAGGACCCCCCCAGTCTAGGGAGGACCAAGAAATCCTGCCAGTCCTTGGAATTCTTGGCATCTGATAAGGGCAGTGGTTGGGGGGACTAGGATGCCAAATTAAAGACGTCCAACCCAAAAGAAGGTGGAGAAGGGGGGTGTAACTGGGGCAGGAACCCCCTTGTCACCATTATTTTCGCCCTCTGCAGTGCGTTCCAATCTTATCCCCAGCCCCCCTACCTACAACTTAGCGCACGACTACGTCAGCTGGGAGTCCTTCTCCAACGTGAGCTATTACACGCGGATTCTGCCCTCTGTGCCCCGAGACTGCCCCACACCCATGGGGACCAAAGGTAATGGAGTTGGGGGGAGGTGGCTGGGCCTGGGGGGTCACAGGATATGCTCAGTTCCCCTCTTTGGGAAAAAGCAGGCAGAAGAGCAATTACTGACCCATTTCACAGATGGGTAGATCAAAGCAAGACATATGCATATGCAGAACCAGGGACCAGGATAGGGCTGGGGAAGAAGGACAGGAAAATGTTGTGGGGGGTCTTGTCTGAGGTCAGCAGCAGAGTCAGACTAGTGCCTCCCGATTTCTGAGGCACCTCTTTGCCTGAACATTGTCTACTGAATGGGTGAGATCCTGCAGGGATGGGGGTAACTTAAAAGTTGAAATGTATGAGGTGGGGAATAGTGTGCTATTTTTTGGGTGCTGACTCTGTGTTTGGTTCTTTACTAATGGAAAAAGTTTTATGTGCTTCATCAGGTCAATTTACACATAAAATCAGGTTTTTTTCTTTAGTTGTCCAAGATCCCCCTCCCTGGTCTCATTGGCAGGGGTCTTCCTCCAAGGCCTTCTTCCCAATCCATTCCTAACTGTCCCCAAACCTGGGGGTTTACTCAGTTTAAAGCCATCAATTCAGCTTCAAGTACACAGAGGACAAAATGCGTCAATTCACCACTGCCGCCGCTTCAGTTCCCACCACATGGTGGCGCTATTGAGCACAAGTCCTGTGCACCGCCCTGGTTGTGCGCTTTCTCAGGCTCAGAACCTTGCATATGTATCAGTGTCTTGAGTGGGGCCTCAGGGGCGCTACTCTGATGGTTTGTACTCACATACGGAGCTCCTATTCCCAAAGCATAACCATTCTGTCAGGATAGCTGGGTCTTGCCAAGCTTCTGGCCTCTGCCTGTACTTTGCTGGAAAAAGCCCTTGCTCAGTGTCAGTCTGAGTGATGATTCCAAGTTATGGGGTGCAGGCCACTTCCTCCAACTTCCCCTTTTGTGAGTTCCTTTTGGGGTTCTTGATGACCTTTCCTGCAACAGGAAATCAGTCAGCCATTGCAACCCAAAGACCTAGTCTATTGACAATGGGCCTCACATGAAGGATTGTGAAAGAATACCTATTCCAGAACACAAAAATTCAATGATTCCTTTCTGCAAAGGCACTGGGTGCCCAGTTATCCGACATCGAATTAATTAAGGAAGACTTCTTAATTCTTATTCTCATAATGACAGAAACCTGCTTCAAGATGACTTGTCTTTAACCCAGACATAGAAAGACTGTCATTATTTAAAATAACTTGGCAAAAGAAAAAGATGTGGCATGCATGCGCACGCACACACACACACACACACACACACACTCACACTGGAATACTACTTGGCCATAAAAAGGATGAAATTATGCCATTTGCAGCAACATGGATAGACCTGGAGATTATCATACTAAGTGAAGTAAGTCAGACAGAGAAAGGAAAATACTATATGACATCACTTACATGTGGAACCAAAAAAAAGTGACACAAATGAACTTATTTACAAAACAGAAAGAGACTCACAGACATGGAAAGCAAACTTATGGTTATCTAGGAGGAGAGGTAGTGGGAAGGGATAAATTGGGAATTTGGGATTTGCAGATACTACTATATATAAAATAGATAACAAGCAGGGTCCTACTGTATTGAACAGGGAACTATATTTTGTATCTTGTAATAACCTTACAATGGAAAGAATATGAAAAGGAATCTATCTATCTATCTATCTATCTAAATCACTATGCTGTACACCAGAGACTAATACAACATTGTAAATCAACTCTACTTCAATAAAAAAGTAAAAAAAGAAATAGCTTGGCAAACTATTGGCAAACTTGGCAAAAGCCTGCAGGCCAAATCCAGCTCACTCCCTATTTTGTGAGTAAGGCTTTGTTGGAACACCATCATATTCATTACGCATCACCTGTGGCTCCTTTCCTGTTGCACCAGCAAAGCCGAGTAGACGCAAGAGAGACCATATGTTGGCAAAGCCTAAAATACTATCTGGACTTGTACAGAAAAAGTTCGCTGACCCTCGATTTAAAAGACTCCACCTCACTAGCTCCCTGTCATGCCTACATGACCTCCTGTGCTCCTCAAATCCACTGCATAAAATCGGTGTCATTCACCCTATTTTAGAGAAGAAGAAACTGAGGCTCAGGGATGACTTACCTATGTTCACAGCATAGCTCATTTCGAACACAGGCTACCTTGCTTCAGGGCTGGGGAGTCCAAGTTCTCGTTTGTTTTCTTTACTTCCTCCTCCTCCTTCTTTTTCTTCTTCTTCTTTTTTTTTGGGTAACATATACAAAGTAGCAAACATACACAAAAGTTGAGAGGAAATTATAATGAACTCCTGTGTAATCCATCTCCTGGTTTCCAGATTTGTCCACACTTTGCCAGTGTTATTTCATCTCTCCCTTCTCACTTTATTTTTCATGGAGTGTTTTCAAGCAAATCCCAGCTATCATGCCGTTTCACCCATAAATCCTTCTAGGGTCTTTTGGTAGAGAAGACGCCAGGGGCCATCTGGTTGGAGGGAGAGAGCCCTGCAGAGGCCATCCTGGGCTTCCTGCATGGACCAGTTTGGTCTGGCGAGCCCAGAAGGCCCTGGGGAAGAAGGATCCAGACAGGAGGCAGTTAATGCTCCCCACCCCCCCCACCCCAACCAGGGAAGAAGCAGTTGCCAGATGCCGAGCTCCTGAGCCATCACTTCCTGCTCAGGAGGAAGTTCATACCTGACCCCCAAGGCACCAACCTCATGTTTGCCTTCTTTGCGCAACACTTCACACACCAGTTCTTCAAAACTTCTGGCAAGATGGGTCCTGGCTTCACCAAGGCATTGGGCCACGGGGTGAGTACCTGGGAGGGGCCCAGGACCTCTCTGGGCCTCACTTGGCACATATAGGTTGTTGCCGGTGGGGTAGGACGCAGAGATCTGAGCGGATCCTCCTTTTGTCTTCAGGTAGACCTTGGCCACATTTATGGAGACAATCTAGAACGTCAGTATCACCTGCGACTCTTTAAGGATGGGAAACTCAAGTACCAGGTAGCACTGGGCCTGGGATGGGGCATTGGGAAGAGCCTTCCATGGTCTTTCCTGGGAGAGGCTGCTGGTCGGGGGCCTTGGTGGTGTCCTGAGATGGCCAGGGCAGAAGCTGGAGGTGTATGCGAGGAGGAGAGACAGTAAACCCTGGGAGAAGGTGTCAGATGAGAGAAGCAGACAGGATGCAGACACGGCCTCTCATGCTCTCCTGGATGGTGGATTTTGAGGCTCAATAGATGGACACTTCCAGCCTGCATTTGTTCATTTAATTATTTCATAATATTGATTGGGCACAATGATGGGCCTGGCACAGGTGAGCAGTGGCCATGAGAGTTATGGGCCCTGCCCTCCAGCTTCTCAGACAAACACTAGACTGCTAGTTCCACGAAGACTTACTGTCTGAACCACACTGTTCAATAGTGCTATAGCCATATGGGTAACTATTTCATGCACTCCTCAAACCCACCACATAAAATAGGTTTCATCTGCCCTATTTTGTAGATGTGAGCCACATAAGTTATTGAAATTTTTCTAGTGGCCACATTAAAAAAGGAAAAAAGAAGCAGGTGAAATAGATTTTAATAATATGTTTTATTTAACCCGATATAGCCAGAATATTATCATTTCAACATGTAATCAACCCCCAAATTAATAATAAAATATCTTACTTTTTTTTTTTGGTGCTGAATCTGAGAAATCTGATCTATATCTTATGCTTACAGCATGTCTCCATTTGGGTGCCAAGTTTTCTTGGGAGATTCTGATCTATGTTTAGATTTTGTAAAGTTTACAGTTGAAAAAATAGGCTAACATGCCCAAGCTGTTCTAAACATAGAGACTTTCCAATAGCTGAGGTAGCAGTTTTAAATTTTTAATCTAAAGTTAAAACAATTTAAAAATCAATTATTTATTCCCACCAGCCATATTTCTAGTGCTCAGTAGCCACATGCAGCTCGTGGCTACCATATTGGACCATGCAAATGTAAACAAACAAAAAGCCAAGATTCAAAGTTTCATGCTGAATCTTTTGGGCTAAGAACAACATTTGGCTTATGGTAGGTCCACAGTGTAAATGCATTGAATGACGAAGAAACTGCCATATAATTAATTACACCTGTGATAGCTGCCACCACGGAGAAGCCACGAGAGTGTGTGGAGGATGGGGAAGCCTTCCTTAGAAAATATGAATCAACCAAGAGTTGTGTGAAGGATGAGGAGGCGTTAGGGAGGGGGCAGGGCTGTCCAGGTTAGCAGGGGCCAAGGCTGGAGAGGGAAAGCAGCCTGTGTGGCTTCAAGGGAGTGAAACGAGGGCAGGGCTGCCGGCCACCTGAGCCATTGCGGATGAGCGTGGGTCGTGTTGAGGATTTCTGATTTCTGCCAAAAGCAGAGAGAGGGCTCGGAAGGGTTTTAAGGCAGGGTGTGATGCTGCATTTGGGTGTTTTCAAGGATTGCTCTGGCTGCGGATTTGAGAGTGGACCGACTGTCTGGGGGAAGAAGTAGGGAGCCACTTACAAGTGGAAGATGAGGGTGGTGGTGGTGGTGGGAAGAGAGAAAGGGGCTCACTTTCAGAGTGGGAGGGTGTCAGCTGTGCAGGTGCGGGCGCCCTGCCCCCTCCCCGGGTTGCCAGGTGGCCCCATCCCGCAGGTGCTGGACGGAGAGGTGTACCCGCCGTCGGTGGAAGAGGCGCCGGTGCTGATGCACTACCCGCGGGGCGTCCCGCCCCGGAGCCAGATGGCCGTGGGCCAGGAGGTGTTCGGGCTGCTGCCGGGGCTCATGCTCTACGCCACGCTCTGGCTGCGGGAGCACAACCGCGTGTGTGACCTGCTGAAGGCCGAGCACCCCACCTGGGGCGACGAGCAGCTCTTCCAGACGGCCCGCCTCATCCTGATCGGTGAGGACTCCAAGCCAGCCAGGTCCTGGAAGGCCAAGCCCTCTGTCCTGAGAAGCGGGGGGCGGAGGACTTGGGGACATAGCGATTAGAATCTGCTTCGTCGGCTTACCAGCTTTTGAATGTGAGCAGGCCCCTCCCCCACGGGAACCCACCTTCCCAGTCTACACCTTGGGAATGGTGAGGGTTGTAAGGATTTGTTGAGAGGGTGAATGGGAGTGTACTCAGCACATGGAACTAGATGTAGAAAATGGGGTGCTGGAATAGTTGTTTATTAGCTGGGCGACTCACAGCAAGTCTGATTAGCCACCCAAACCTCAGTGTCCCCACGGACTGCATCCAGGAGCACACCGTGACATCCTCAGCAAATACAGGTCAGACCCCAGCTTGCCTGGACTTCAGGAATCCTCTTGTCTCCTGCCCTGCATGTGTCTGCCTTCCTGGAGATTGATAGCTTCTGGGTGACTCAGGGACAAGATATTTTTGTGTCCCCTACGGGGGCGAGTCTGCAGCTTAAAATGTCAGATGGTTTCCTGCCTGGGAGTGTGGCCTCTGCCACCTGCTGTTCAGACTGTATTCACTCTGAGTCACCAGTAAGCCCCGGCCCCCGCCTCTGGGCATCACTGGGCATGGCTGTTCCCAATTATAGTGCCCGACTCACTGGAGCCTGGAAGAGCCATGCACTGGGGATAGGAATGGTCTAAAGAACGAGGGGGGGCTGGGTCAGAAGTCCCAGTGTTGCCGAGACTTTAACCAGAGAGGGCAAGTCTGTGGCTGCAGGCTGCCCAGCACACTGACTGATGATGAAGCTGTGACCAAAGGCAGGACTCCTGGGGCCCCTGCATCCTCCATGCTTCATCGAACCCTCCCCGACAGCCTGATGAACCAGATGTGATTATCCTTGGGTAAACATGAAGATTCAGAAAGGTTACGTGGATTCTCTGAGGCCATTCAGTGGAGAGAGACTTGAACCAGGTGTGGCTGCTATCAAAGTTTGTGCGATTTCCAGCACATCACGAAGGGAATTCTTTCCTGAGTGGGGAGGAGGGGGCACGACTTAGTCTAATCTTCTGTGACGTGTGAGTACAGGGAGGGCATTCTGCCATCACTCCTACACGCAGTAGTCCGTCTTCTGCAGGAACGGACCCTCCCTGCTATGCCCAGCAGTTCAGATGTGTTCCTTGTGTGCTCCTCCCAACGACCCTGTGAATATTATTATACTGGTACCGTTATAGCAAACACTTCGCAGAGAAGGGAAGTTGGGAGTGAGTGGCACAGCCCCAGCTCAGGTGACTAGAGATGGTGAAGCCAGGATTTAGACCCTGGTCTGTGGATTGCAATTCCAGAGGCTCCAGATTTGCTAAAAGTCAGTCTGTCTCATTGGCCACAGTATCCGTGTCCTTTAATATCTAGTTGACCACTTTCCATTTGGTTATGGAATGTTCAGTTTCTTTCTTCCCTGGCTTTTTGCTTTGTAGCTGGTTCCCCAGGGGGCAGAGGAAAAATTGATCCATAGGAATTCGGTACCTAAGAAGATACAAGGATTATGTTTGGGGCTGACGTCCCTTGTTTGCTGCCGCCGCTCTTAGAATGGTCCCTTCAGAGTTCCCCTCGCCTCCCTCGCGGGGATGTTGAGATTCCCTAAGTTAATCTCCGCTTTTCCATCTTTTGAGACCTCTCCAGGCTCTTCTAAAGGGCTTTGGGAAGGTGGTCACCCAAAGGTCATGAAACCCATCCTCGGGTACTTCTTTCGCGTGTCCTGCTCAGCTGGCCTACAACCTCCCCATGGAAAGTGCGAGAAGTAGGCGGCTCTTGTCTTGGGACATCGGTCCAGCCCGAGACAGAAAGTTCCATTTTCACACCCCGTTACAAAGAGACAAAGTGAAAGTGGCCAGACAAAATTAAACAGCTAGCACGATGACCAAGAGGCAAAGCCAAGCCCTTTCCATGAACGGGCCGGCTTCCCCAGCCCTGTGGCTAAATCACCGCGCTCTGCTGACCCGGCTCCCCATCCTTCCTCCCAGGGGAGACTATCAAGATTGTGATCGAGGAGTATGTGCAGCAGCTGAGCGGCTACTTCCTGCAGCTCAAGTTCGACCCGGAGCTGCTGTTCGGCGTCCAGTTCCAGTACCGCAACCGCATCGCCATGGAGTTCAACCAGCTCTACCACTGGCACCCGCTCATGCCCGACGCCTTCAGGGTGGGCCCCCGGGACTTCAGCTATGAGCAGTTCCTCTTCAACACCTCCATGCTGGTGGACTACGGGGTCGAGGCCCTGGTGGACGCCTTCTCTCGCCAGACGGCTGGCCGGGTGAGCCCCAGAGGAGCGCTGGGGAGGGCAGGCAGGTGGGCTCTGGGATCCGAATCCCAGTTTCCTGTAAAATGGGAAGGGTGTCAGTCCTACGGGCTGTTCTTCCTTCCCTCGTTCTTTCATTCTTTCGTTCATTCAACAATACGGGCTGTTACTCCAGGTGCTGGGGATGGAGCAGGGAACAAGATCGATGTGGTTCTTGGGTCCCCGTGTTTTTGGCGTGGGTACCCTAGAAAGGCACAACAGTCATAGGACAGCTTGTATCCTCTGAGCATTGACCACACACTAGGCCCGTGCCAGGGGCTTTTCTGATGTTAACAGAATCTTCAGAGCGCATTAAGAACCACAATGCAAAGCTCTGGGAGCTCGGAGAGGGGCTTCTGGCCCAGAGTCGGAGACTGTGGGTAAGGAAGTGATGTTTGAGCAGAGATCCAAGGGATGGAGGGGGATCTCCCAGGGTAAGAGGTAGTGCTCATGGCATGGGACCACTGTGTTCCAGATGGGGAGGACAGCATGGCAAAGGCCCAGAGGTCAGAGGGCACAGCAGCTTGAGGACCAGGAAGACATTCGGGGTGCGGCGGTCTATGTGAAAGTGCCCGCACATAGTAGGTCTTTAGTAAATTAGAGGCCTCCGTTATGGGCTGAGTTGCCCCCAGCTACAAATTCCCATGTTGAAGTCTTGACCTCCAGCACCTCAAAATGTGTCTGTGTTTGGAGATGGGGTCTTCAAAGAGTTAATCAAGGTTCCGTGGGGGCAGGGGGTGAGCCGTACTGTGACTGTGTCCTCATAAGAAGAGGGGACTAGGATACAGACATGCACAGAGGGGAAACAGAGGGAGAAGACTGCCATCTGTGAGCCAGGGAGAGAAGCCTCAGAACAAAACCAGCCCCCGTGACACCTTGATCTCGGACTTCTATCCTCCAGAACTGTGGGGGGCTGTCTTTCTGTCCTCTCAGCCCCTCAATCTGTGGCACTTTGTTATGGCTGCCATCGCAAGATAATACAGCCTTTTCCCCCTGGAATTTCTAACTCTTCCCTTCCCCATGTTTGGAACCATCTCCCGTCACCCCCTGCTCCTCTCTCGTCCTTATCCCTAAGCCCTATCATGAAGTTGTGGCATCGTATGGATTCAGATTTCCTCCTGGTCATTTGACTGCAATTAGCATATGCTGCCACCAATGGGCAGCTGCTGGCTGGTTAACGCGGCCTCTGTTCTTCGTGGGGACACCAACAGGAACAGAGGTAACAGCCTTTGTGCGGGGCTGTGTGGTTTCCAAAGAGCTGTCAAGCAAGGACCACGATGACGTGTGTGAAAAGCTCTGGTGTTTCCTGGTACAAGATAGAAGGACCCCAGAATGGATTCTCAGTATAACAGAGAGAGTGTGAGAAGTGATAAAACAGGGCTTCCCCTGATAATCACTGTGCACGGTTCCATCTCGGGGTTATCATATGACCAACACTGTGGTAACTGCTTTGCCTTCTTTTAAAAAAGATTTTCTTTCTTTCCATTCTTTTTTTTTTTAATGGAGGTACCGGGGGATGAACCCAGGACCTCGTGCACATTAACCATGTGCTCTACCACTGAGCTATTATCCTGCTTTGCATTTTTTATCTTGGTTTTTTCACCACAACCATATCAGGTGGATGCGTCTACCTCCTTCATTTTTACATATGAAAAAAACTGAGACTTAGCCTAAGTAATTTGCCTACAGTCCCTGGATTTGTTTCCTAGGGCTGCAGAAGGACCATAAACGAGGGGCCTTTAAGCAGGAGAAATTTCTTCTGCTTTTTTCTTTTTTCGGAAGCTCAAAAGATCACCGTTAGTACTGATAAAGCTGGTACTAGAAAACCTGAATGATATGTGCTGGTAAGCAGGCTTTTTAATAACAAACTCCCCAATTAGACAAACTTGGCTACCAAGTCACGGAGGCATTGAAATGAGGAAAGTCTCTCCCACATCCTCCTGCCCCCAGGACGAAGTCTGCCTAAGAAATTTGAGAGAAAACATCCTTCCTGGTGTCAGCTGCGTCCAGGAGCAGTAGAGAGGCTAGCCTGGACAGCGCATGCCTGGTTATTTCTCTAAAACTCACCAATAGTCCTACTTCGCTCCTCCTCTTCTAACAAAGGAGTGAGGGGGAGAGGTGGGAGAAAGATGCTAAGAGAGTTAGGCTATTGGGGTTTCCTCCATGGATAAAGAAACATCCAGGAAAGGAAAGAAATATTCTCACCTGACAACTGAGAATGATCACCTTTTATTCATTTATTCACTGATCCACCCTTGCAGCCATTAAACAGTGATTACACATGACTAATATCTTGGCCGTTGAAAAGATCAATCTTTGAACAGTTGTCTAGAACTCTTTTATCATTAACTCCCCCAAGTGGTGTTAATATCATTCAGAAATGTATTCTTTCACAGTTCTGGAGACTACAAATCTGAAATCAGGGTGTTGGTAGGGCCATACTCCTGCTAAAAGTTCCAGGGGAGAATCTGTTCCCTGCCTTTCTCTCAGCTTCTTGTGGTGGCTGACAATCCTTGGGGTTCCCCGGCTTACTGAAGCATCGCTCCAGCATGGTGATCTTCCCATGTGTCTGCTTCCCCTTTGTCTTGGGACGCCAGTCATCAGATTAGAACCCACCCTAATGGAGTATGACTTTGATTACGTCTATTTCCAAATGAGGTCACATTCACAGGTGCTAGGGTTAGGGCTTCAGCATATCTTTTGGGTCAACCCACAATGGCCCCACGGCTTGTAAATGGTTCAGCTGAGACTGGCCCCTGCCTCTGCTGGCTTTGCCCCAAGGTGTTTGATTTCACCCAGCTGTACTTTTCCTCTTTCTCACCCAATGTTACTCGTTCTACCCAAATAGAACTCTTTCTTTAGCATCAATGTTTTCAATTCACCCTGAGCAATAGTGCTTTCTTTAGACCAATGCTCCTTAAGAGTTATGAATCAGATTTTTTTTTTCTTGGAGCCTTCTTTATCTCACCAGGTTACCTGGGCTTTGAACCCTGCTTCCTTTTCTTCACAGGATATATTATACCACCCCTTAGTCTTGGAGTAAAACTCCAAGCTTAGTTAAACTAAATTTATTTATATATTATCATTTTCATGGCAAGATTTTAGCTCCCTCCCTGCTAGCTTATGACAATTTCTCTCCCGGGAGGCTTGGCAGAAAGAAGGAGAAACAGATGCAGTCACTTGTGTTCCTGGGTCTGAATGGAGTGACTTGATACTCCGTGTTCCCACCTTCTAGATGAGTTTCTCTTTCCTAGTGGTGGCCGGTTACTAGGGGTTCACTTTTTAATACTAGATGCTCAGAAAATTGTGTGTCATCTCAGCGCTGTGATATAGAGAATGGAAAGTGATAGAAAGCGTTTCCTTAGCAGGATCTCTTGAAAGATTAAACATCTTCATCCTTATGATAAGAACTGATTTGGAGAGTGACAGACATATGTCAGTTCTGCCAGGTAGGGTTTAAAAATATCCAAGGAATGCCAGAAAGTTTTGGCTTCTCAAACTAATATTTGTCCGTCCATCCGTTTCCATCACTTGAAGGCTCAGAAACCTTTCTGTCCCCACCCCCCCACAATTTTCTTTCCTGATCTGAAAGGCAGTCCCCTCTGCTCGAGGTCTTGACCGTGGCCATGCTTGCCATCTCCTTGGTCGAGTCCTAGTGGCTGAACCTAATAGTTCCAGAACCTTCCTTCACAGGATGTTAGGGGTTCTCACCTAAATTCAAAGGGCTGGGGAACAGTGCATCTGGTGAGTCACTCGGGAGGTCCTCCTGGCTCACTCCACACTTTGGAGATGAGGAGGCTGAGACTCAGAGAGGGTCGCAGAAAAAGCAGAGCAGTGCAGCCCGAGGGCCAGGTGTCCAGCTCGGTGGCTGCGAGGCTGAGCTACACTCTCTGTCCGAGCTCAGGAAGGTCCCCTGACCTGAAAGTCTCTTCCAGGACAGGGTGGCCTGGCTCTCAGACCACGGCTGTGTTTCTCTCTTGGCAGATCGGTGGGGGGAGGAACATAGACGCCCACATCCTGCACGTGGCCGTGGATGTCATCAAGGAGTCGCGAGCGCTGCGGCTGCAGCCCTTCAACGAGTACCGCAAGAGGTTTGGCATGAAACCCTACACCTCCTTCCAGGAGCTCACAGGTGAGCAGCTGCTCCCCAGGCACGCTCCCTGCCCTCAAGGGACTTGAGCTAAAGGAACAGCGACATCGAGGAAGCAGAACGAGGCCATCCACCTGGCCGGCTCGGTGCCGGGGGTGGCGAGGGATGGTGATGACTCCACTGCGGGGGAGAGACGGTGGTGTCTCGGCTGGGCTTGAAGGATAAAAAAGGATTTTCCAAGTGGAGAATAGAGGGAAGAGCATTCGAGGCAGAGGAACAGAGAGTACAGAGGCACAGAGGTCATCAAGGCTGAGTCTATTCAGAACAGTCATAAGCGTGGCTGGAGCGAGCGGCTTACGTGGGGGAAGTGGCTGGAGGTTAGTGGCAGGAGGCTGGCTCACACTGTGTGGAATCTTGGAGTCCACGCTAAAGATTTTGGGTTTTATCCTGTCTAGGGTTTCCTAAATCCCATTAATGGACCAGCGACCTGAGAATCACTTAGAAAACTAATTAAAAATACCAAATCCTAGCTGTCTTCCCGAGAGATTCTGATTCAGTAGGCCTAAGTGGTGGCCGAGAATCTGTATGTGTGTGTGTGTACACACACACTTATGTGTATATGTATATACATATGTGCTGGAACTCTATATACATATATTTTATATATGTATATATTTGTTGTTTAAGGTCCCCAGTTGTTGGGCAGCCAAGTTTGGGAACCTGTGTCAGAGACAATGGGGAGCCACTGGCAGGTTTTGACCAGGGTGTGGCATGACCCATGACTGGATATTAATGCCCTATGGAGCGTGGATTTGAGGATACGGCTCAATGTCTCTCTCCCATGACAGTCTGGAGGGACAGAAAGAACACTCGCTGAATCTCTCTGTGAGCTTAGACTGTGACATGACGTCTCTGAGCTCCAGTAGAATGTGGGGCCTTGGACCAGGATGAGGCCTTGAAACCTGCCTGGGAAGGAAATAAGATGGGTGGCTTCTCCTTGTTGTAACCATCAGGTAATTAGGGCACAGAGAAGTGGGATGAGTTGCTCAAGGTCACGCGCTGTTTGGTGGCACATCCAGGCCCTTGACTCCTTCCGCAGCGGCACAACCCTTCCTGAGATGCAGCCCTGGAAAAGGGTCTCTCAGCCGGGCCCGATTTTAGGACGCGTGCTCATTTGCTGAAGTGACACTTCTGAAGTCCCTTATTCTCCCCAGAAAGAGGTGGACCTAGAAGGTTCCCTCCCCAGATTAACCTTCATGGATTGGCATCATGATTCTGACTCTAGCTTCTTCCCGTGTAGGAGAGCAGGAGATGGCAGCTGAGCTGGAGGAGCTATATGGAGACATTGATGCCTTGGAGTTCTACCCGGGACTACTTCTTGAGAAGTGCCATCCAAACTCCATCTTTGGGGAGAGTATGATAGAAATCGGGGCTCCCTTTTCCCTTAAGGGTCTCTTAGGGAATCCCATCTGTTCTCCGGAGTACTGGAAGGCGAGCACATTTGGTGGCGAGATGGGCTTCAACATTGTCAAGACGGCCACGCTGAGGAAGTTGGTTTGCCTCAATACCAAGACTTGTCCCTATGTCTCCTTCCGTGTGCCAGACCCCGGCCAGGAGGATGGGCCTGGTGTGGAGCGGCCATCCACCGAGCTCTGAGGGGCAGGGCAGCAGCATTCTGGGGGGCAGAGCTTCATGTTCCTCATTCCAGAATGCTGAGGCCAGGGTTGATATTCTTAAAGGCTGGGTTTCTGATTGGCATCAAGAGCATCAGTGTGGACATTTAGGACTCTGGGTCCCTCACCCATGATCTGGACTCTGGGTCCCTCACCCATGATCTGGAATACTGTGAGCTTGTTCGTCATTCTAGAATGCTGAATTCCTGGTTATTCATCCAAAATGTTGGGCGTGGTTCTCCTTTGGCGTGCCAGACCGCTGGGTTCCTGGTTGACAACCTAGAATATCGATTCCTGGTTGATCTGGAATACAGCCATTCTAAAATATAGGACTCCTGATGAAATCATCTAAAAAGTTAGGGGATTCTTATTTTGCATTCTAGAATTCTGAGTGGCCCTCCAGAGTGCTGACTTTCTGGTGGGCGATTCAGAATGTTGTGTCCTTGATTGCTGATCTGGAACAGTGGCTCGTATGCTAGGTTGGTCCTGATCTGAATGTCTAGAATATTGAGGAATCATGTTCCTGTTCAGTGAGATATCCACAGAGCAGGAGAATCTAATGTCTAACAAGAACGCATTCCCTGAATCTGTGCCTGCATGGAGGGAGCGAGGAGGTGGGGTGTTTTTCTGGGGACCCCAACAGAGACCCTGGTCTGAGGATATGGAGAGAAGAGGTGGTTTTTTCCCAGGCCATTGGTTGGAAGCCACCAGAACTCTGTCCCCATCCAGGTCTTGACTCATGGCAGCTGTTTTTCATGAAGCTAATAAAATTCTTTTTCCAAATTGCCTGCTATATATCTTTTGATTGTCATCCCGAGAAGCAGAGGTAACACGGAACTGACCTTTTCTCCTACCCACAGGCTGGGTGTGCTAGAGGTCTGCAGCATGAGACCTTCCACTGGGATCCCTGGGGCTTGTCACCATCTAGATCTTCCACTGCTGATGTTTCATTCCCCCAACCCCTCCCCGACCCCCTAGGTTAGGCGTTGCCTTTTCCAGGCTGCTCTCCTAAAATACACAAGTCCCCAGCCCCAGGAGAAGCAGCATTCAGTTCCCACCATCTGATTAAAACAACTTCCCCCCTTACAGAGCGTACAGCAGAGATGAAAGGCATTTGGGGAGGACAGAATTTCCTCTGTGCCAATTTTACACACAGTTCTCATTTATTTTCAACCCAACAGGGTGAAGTAGGTAGTATAGTCCCGATTTCAAAGCTAAGGAAACCAAGAGTCAGGGTGCTTAAGTGATGTGCCCCATGGGTGCCAGGGCCAGGCTGGGACCCAGGTCTGGCTGAATTTAGAACTGTGTTCTTTACCCTGTCTGGCTTCCTCTTGCTTCCTGGTTTGACTCACTTCCAGGCCTGGTTCTGCTTATCTGCTTGTCTGGCTCGGGGTCAAAGGCAGAGGTGGGGTGTAGCCTCTGCCTTCCATGCTATTCAGTCATGAATATTTATATTCCTAACTGCTTACTACTACTTGCTAGTTACTGTCATAAGCTTGGAGCCACAGCAGTGAGCGGTCAATACAGCTAAGGCTGTACAATATATATCCTTGTAGCTTATGTTATAAATTCTACAGCACAGGAAATATAGCCAATATTTTATAGTAACTTTAAATGGCATATAATCTATAAAACCAATAATCTGTAAAAATATTGAACCTCTATGTCATACATCTGAAACTAATACAACTGATTTGCTATTGCAAATCAGCTATACTTCATTTTAAAAAATAGCCTCAATTAAGAAAGTTCAAACTCTTAAAAGACAGATAAGGCTTCTGTCCATATGGAACTCATATTCCCATGGGGGTAGATTAGACAATAAAGAAGAAAATAGTGAAAGGAGAGGAATCCAGCTGAGTGTGATCCCCCTTTTAACTCACACAGCTCTGCCCTCTCCTGCTTGACTCTGGAGCCCTGAGACCCTTTGCTCAGCCACATAGACCCTCACAGCCAGCAAAGAGGGAAGAGAGGTCAGAAGAGTAATGTAAGAGGTTGGCAAAGGTTCTTCACACTCCCTACTCTGGGCTGAGTGTCCTTCATGAAGAATGATGGCCCAGAAACAATGTGGGAAATTGGGGTCCAGGCTGAGGGTCCCTGGCTATGTCTACTGTCATATGATCCAGAAAGCCCTTGTTTCTCCTTAGTTGGGTAGTGACTGCTTCCATCCTTCCCTCTTGGCCCCGCTGAATGCAGAACATGCAATCCTTTCTTGTGCCCCCAGCTGCTCTGATGTGGGAAGGGCCTTTCAGGTGCTGGAAGTGGGCACGGCGTGGCTGTGTCTTGTCCTTGCTGGCTTGGTATCTATTTCTTCTTTTCTGCTAATACCCCAACTTTGCCTGAGAATCCTTCCCTCTCTCATTAATTTCAGTCTTGGTGATTCCATCAGGGGCCCTCTTCTGGCCAAGGGATGGGCCTGTGACTCAATCCTGGCCAATTAAACATTCTCTTCTTATAAATTGGCCCCCGAGTTGAGTTGCATAGAGATTGAGACGACTGTCTCTGATTTATCTCCACAGCCGGGATCTGAAAGCACTAACCATTAGTTTCTGCTCCCACAATCACCAGCTTTCCTGACCTTCTCAAGACTTTAGCTTTTGCTTCCATCCTGGGGACTTCTCCATGAATTCCTTTTTCACTGAAATCAGTCAGAGTTGGGGGGGGGGTTCTGTTGCTTGCAATCAAAACTTCATGGCTGCTAGTCTGAGGTGACAGATACAGTATGATGGCTCTCGGAGGAATTTTAATCAGCAGAGACACAAACAGTCTAGTGTTTAGAAAGAGTACCCTCAGGTAGGGTGGATGACAGAGTAAAGCAGCGAGGACCAGAGGGAAGCAGAACAGTGATGAGACTGTAGCTGTGGTCCAGCTGAGAGACGATGGTCACTGGGACCAGGTGAAGGGCTGTAGGATGGGAGGATGGTGTGGATTCTAAACGCAGGTGCCTAGATTAGGTGGACTTTGTTTTGTACGCACAAGTGTGTATGAAATTTTTGCAGATGGAAATTATGTCAAACGTGCCAAGAAGGCTTCTTCAGAGTGAAGGATCTTAATGCTCATAATATGAATGCTCATTCCTGGAATTTTTATTTGGTGGGTGTGATGGTTGGTTTTAGGTGTCAACTTGGCTGGGCTACAGTTATTTAATCAAACACTAATCTGGGTGTGACTGTGAAGGTATTTTGCAGACCTGGTTAACTAACCCTACAATCAGTTGACTTTAAGTAAAGGAGATTGTTACTGAGTATCCAAGCTCATACTGCTTGACACAGGACAGGCCAATAAATTGGGAGAGTTTTGGGGGCAAGGAATAATGACGTTACTCCGAAAGCCAGCAGACCAAGAAGATGGTGAACTAGTGTCCCAAAGAACCATCTTCCCTGAGTTAGAATTTAGGCTTCTTTTATACTAAAAGGGCTGGGAGTAAAGTCAAACATTTCCTGGCTCCGGTCAGCCTCCAGAGGGGATGTGTTAATTTCTTCCTGCCTGTAGTCATTTGCAGGTGACTGGTCAGGTTGTTTCCTGTGAGCTAAACAAAGGTATTTTCCACTTAACACCCATTACCTGGGAGGCAGCATTTCCAGAGTTGGGCCATTATGTATCGTTTAAGCTTATAGGCAGCCATCTCTCTGGTGATTAACTTGTAGCAAAACCAACAGAATACAAAGATTAGAGTAAAAGAAACAGATCGAGTATGGAGTCAAATTTGTTCTTCCCTGTTACAAGATTACCCTTGATGACGTGGGTGGGACTCCTGTGATTAGTTGAAAGGCCTTTAGAACAAACACTGAGGTTTCCAAGAGAAGAAATTCTGCTTCAAGACTCAGTATCAGCTGCTGCCTGAGTTACCAGCCTGCTGGCCTGTCCTGTGAATTTTAGACTTTCCAACCCTGATGATTGTGGGTGCCAATACCCCAAAATAAAGCCATCTCTATCTCTGTCTCTGTCTATCTATCTCCCCCATATTTACACATATACATATGTCCTACTGAGCTAAGAGCCCTGAACGAATCGCCCATAGGATCAGTCAGGGTTCTCCAGAGAAACGGAACCCATCGGTCCTTCTAGCCTGTGTAAGCATGAAGGAGTTTATTACAGGGCATTGTGTAGCTCACGGAAACATTGGCAGGATGAGAGCCAGGCTCGGAGCCTTCACGTCCAGGCATAGGGGCTACTGCTCCCGTGAAGATGCCTTCATTACCACTGCTGCCAAAACCTCACCCCTGCTGCTCCGGAAAGCTGGCTGCTGCTGCAGCCACCCTTGCCAGAACATGGATTCATTCTGCATGGTGTCTGCTGGCTCACGTTTTTCTACTTAGAAAGTCATTTTTACTTCGCTTCTGATTGGTGGAGCAGAGCTCGTGTGCCTGGATCTCCATCTCCAAGAGAGGGTGGGAAAGCGAGTTTTCTGGCTTGCACCTTGGGGAGGAGAGACCCATAACATCAGAAATTCTCCATACACGGGAAGGGTGTTCAAAGAGGCTGGGAGCCAGGGCCGATCCACTTCAGTGGATCTGAGTTTTGAGTTTTGTTGTGCCCCTGAGAGCCCTGGCCTTAGAACATTGCAAGGAACATCACAGTGGCATCGCTGTTAACCTGGCAACAGCTCAATATAATTGCCAGCAAAGAACTTAAGAAGTGAAATTATGGAAGTACAGAAGAGCAGAGACCCAAGACTTCAGAGCACACATGGTCCACTCTTCTAACAGTATTTGACTACAAAATTGTCCACACACCATGGTAGACATGCCTGCAATCCACTTTTCCACTTAACCATGCTTTCCCTGTAAAAATGGACTTTAAAGTAGCTTCATGTGAATGAGGGTAAGGAATATGAAAGCCTAAAAGATGATTTCACAGAGCAATATTAAAGGAACCACAGTGAAAGTCTTTCTTCACCGTCTTACCTGTTTCTCATCTTTCATTTAAAGTTGGTTTCCTCTCAAGCTAAGTCGCACTACTTTTTTTTTTTTTTTTTTTGCTCTCTATCTCTATATTTTTGGTTAAGAGTGCTTGTGAACCATGCGCACAACTTCAAGGCTCAGTATTTGGGTTTCAGGACAATGTGGCCATGCATTCTTACGAACTTCTGGGGCAGGCTCCCCCCAACCCCATTTGCAGTATCACAGACACACAACAAAGTGCGCTAATCTTTAGTGCACATTTTGACATATGTACAAACTCAAGTAACCAGCAAAGAAATCAAGATATAGAACATTTCCAGCGCTCTAGGGGGCTCTTTTGTTCCCCTTCCCAGTCCCAAAACCTCTGAAATGTGTGAATGGGCTTGGAGGGCAGTATGCTAAGTGCAGTAAGTCTGACAGGGGAAGATAAATACTGCATGATATTGTTTATATGTGGACTCTAAAAAATGTGACAGATTAGTGAACACAAAAAATAAGCAACCTCATAGACAGAGAGAACAAAAGAGCTGTTACCAGTGTGGGGAGGAGCAGTGGGGGGGGTGCGGGAGGTACAAAGTACTGCGTGTAAGACAGGCTCAAGGATGTATCGAACAACACGGGGAATAGAACGGATATTTTGTAGTGACTGTAAGTGGAAAGTAACCTTTAAACATTGTATAAAAATAAAAAAAATTTAAAAACCCTTTGAACTGCTGTCCAAAAAAAGCTGTTATACTGAGTCACATTGACGTCAGCAACACACGGGCTCCATGTTGTCTGCATCTCTGTTGGCCATACATAAACACTTTTCTCAAAAAAAAAAAGAAAAAAAAAACAACCCTCTGAAATGTAACCACTATCCTGACTTTTATCACTGTTGAT